CGACTGGCCATCTGGAGGACCGGGAGGGTGTGTGTATGTGTGGCCCGAGCGAGCGAGAGAGAGACCTTACGTGCATTGTTGTTGTTAGCATCTGGTGCTAGCTAGCTGCGCTAACGGATATACGGAGCTGTTTAAATGAAAACAGAGGAGCGACATTTCGCCACAACTGCGCCGAGCACTTGACTTTATGCAGGAAGCCAGACAGTGGGACATTGTACGAAAAGTCAGCACGGATAGTGCGCAACATGATTGCAGCGTCCAGGCAGCTCCGGTTCGAGCATATGCCTTGAGTTGCACATAGCTCCAACGCCCATACCACCGACGACATGTTTGTTTACTGTCCTGGCTTCACGGCCGCACACCATTTACGTCACAGCCAGGCATGAGTTAGGGAGCGCTGGATTTGTGAAAAACTCCCCTCTTCCTAAACCACTAATACCACAGTACTGGCAAAATGGGAGGAGCCGAGTGAAAAACAAGCGCCCCTCATCCCAATCCACCCCACACCGCAGTATCTTTTTCTTTTTTTTTACCCAAAAAATATATTGTATATTATCGGGGCTATTAATACTGGTATCAGGTTTATCGGGATGACGTCATAATTCCTAATATCGGACCGATAATTATCGGGCCGATAATTATTGTGCATCCCTACTTATTACTTATCGTAGCTGCACATATAGATATCCGATTAAAGCTGAGGTTCCACAGATCATTTAGGTATATATATCATCACTAAGTTATCCAAACTCTGATTGACAGGGGAAGTAAACACAGACATCACAACACGTACCTTTACGTAGCTTTTACGGGAGATCGTCTCACCGTAGCTGTCAATCTGATCGGTCTCTGACAGGAGCAGATTGCAGGTTGAAAAAACCCTCAGCTCCGAGCTCGGCAGAATCTGCACCTGGCTCGCCGATAATAAATTATCATTACACCTGGGTAAAACAGAGTCCATTCTCTTCGGTTCGAAACATAATCTCAGCAAATCCGACGACTTCTCAGTTGCAGTGGGCAACATTATTGTCACAAGTAAAAAGGAAATTACATACCCAGGATCTATTCTTGAGGCAAACCTCTCCTGTGACAAAATGGCATCCAATGTAATAAAAAAGTCAATCAAAGAACTAGATTCCTATACCGGATCTCCTCTCTGGTAAACAAAAACACCCTGAAAACTCTGGCAGGAGCACTCATTCAAGGGTACTATGACTATGCTTGCACGTCATGGTACCATAGCACCTCCAAGGCGCTAAAAATAAAACTTCAAACATCGCAAAATAAACTGGTCAGACTACTGCTTGACCTTTCATCTAGAACCCACCTCACCTCTGCCCACTTTGACAACCTAGGATGGCTTAGAGTAGACGACAGAGTACAGCTACTTGCAATGGGCCTGGTCTACAAGATCCACTACACCTCTATGGTACCCATGTACATGTCAAAATTCTTCCCAAAGGTCAAGGAATACCATGATCATAACATCAGAGGGAGCTCCACCAATCATGTGAAACCCAGATTTGGAACAAAAAAGGGGGAATACACGTTTCGCAATTATGCCACATCAAGGTGGAACGCTCTTCCCACAACTGTAAAGGAAAGTAAAACTATACTTACCTTCAAAACCTCTCTTAAAGAGCACCTTCGGGGGAGAGCATTGCAAAACTGGCCCGGGTAATGGTACAAATCTCAACCTGTCGTACAATGGACAGCTTCCCCCCCCCATCTATGTATATACTCGCATTTTAGACTCTGTTACTAACTGTATATCTGTAGACTTGGTATGTCTTAAATGTCCGGTTAGGATGTATTAGAACGAAATCTAAAATGAAAATTGTAAATAAGCAATCTGTATGTAAAAAAACCACCTGTATGTAAATTGTAAATAAGCCATCTGTATGTCAAATATGTCTTATATGTCTTAAATGATATGATGAATTGGAAATGGGGGACCCTGATGTAAACAAGACGAAAGTCTTTCTCTGGTCTGCATCCCCTTAACAATTGTATGTTTTGAGCTGTACTGTACCCAATATACAAGCTGTTAATAAACTTTTCAATCAATCAATCAATCAATCAAAGGACTTGTTCAATGGCATTAAAACGAGAAAAAAACGCGGCTGAATCGGTTAATCTATAGGTTGATAATGTTTCTGTGGAATAATTTTTTTTAATTTATAATCCATAATTCCATTTTTATGTAAAAATCGGAGAGTAAAAGTTAGCTGCTAATGGTAGCCACCAGAGTTATCGCAGCTTCCGGTTTTGGCTATGCGCCAGTCTCACACACACATTACCAAATAAGGAGTATGTGGGAGTTCCCCTCGATTCCATTGGCTCTGACGGTTAGAAAGAGATGTCAATCAGCAAAATCGAGCAAGGAGAGCCAGAGATAGGTCAAATCCACCCAAATTACCCCAGAAGTGGGTTTTTTTTGCTAAGTCTCTCTAAAAAGGTCAAAGGTCAAATTTCACTTGTTTTGCATCAATCTTGATACAGGGTACTTATTATATGTTGTAATTTGGATTCCTAAAGCTTTTTGTCTACTATCCCATCATTCAAGGGTGGTTTTCACTATAAATTATCTTTTTTTTTTGGGACGGACACAATAATTTACATTTTTTTTACTGTGTTCAATCTGAATTTACTTTAAAATAAAAACATCTATATTGATTCTGACACTTCTACATCCAACTCACAGGGAAGAGAAAAAAGATTATTAATTTAACCCTTTTAGAAGGGAAGATATGGTCATTTGTTCTGGGAATGTCCTTTTCGAGCCTGAGACCTGAAAAACAGGCTCGGGGCTTAACAGGAGAGGGTTTCATCCCTCCGATTCTATCTATTGGCAGAAATGTTATATTGTGTATTTGACTGCTGTTTAACTTTGTTGTCTTATTGAATCCACTACTTTAGTGCTCAAGAAAAAAGTGCTCCTTTGGTCATATTCAGCATTCACTACAGATAATATTCCCTTTCCCTTCTTCTCCCGAAGTAAATGAAAGAAGGGAAAAAGTACTTTATCCACTATGAGCTTTAAGTGCTATGCCAATGTGCCAATAACACTGAGACCTAGCAAACAAATTAAGAGATTAAGAAATCATTTAGAAAATAATTGAGGGGCCAGAGCAGATGGCGATTGACTCATGGTGACTCACTGTTTGATAAGAGTTAACTGAAATAGCCCAATAAATAAGAGGGAGTGCCATTCTGTCAAATTCAAAACACCCACACATGCATTTAGCTAACTACCCTGTTCAAGTCACCTAGTACAACGTCCATTGGAGTATTGTGATTATGTCAGCACTTCATTAGTTAGCTATACACAAGACAGCGACATTGAGTAAAGCTTTTCAATTTGTATTTGTTTAATTATAAACAGCTGACTTGAAGAGTAACAGAAGGCCTGGCAGAATGAGCAGGATTTGGGGCACAGAGGGGGCCTTTTGTGAGTGTCACCAGTTGGCAACCTCCATGTCAACATGGCTGTGACTCCTTCAGAACACTTAGTCAGGACTGAATAAGTGTGTGGCTTTGACTGTGCACGCACACAACTTCCTGTTTGCCACTGTTATCAATATGTATTTTAGGGCTGCAATACAGGAACAAGCATAAGGCTGGGCCAAAACTTCCTGAGCAACGACCCTTTTGGCTGAGCTGCCTCTCTGGAGGGTTATTTTTATATGGGGACATACTGATTCATTGGCAGGACATCAGTATTGGCCACTGTCTGCCCTATTTAAAGTAATTGGATAATTGGCGAGAAAGGTGATGTCCTGATGGTAGAGGAAGTTTATCTGTTTTGCCTGGCTATGTGACTTAGTCCTGTTGGTACTTCAATGTTTCTTGTTTAGAAGGTAATTGTATGACAGACTAAAGAGGGTCTTGTAAAAGTCATTCTTCACGAAAATATTCTTTCTCTCGTGAAAGAATGTTTCATTACATGTTAGACGCTTTTATCCAAAGCGACTTACATACTCAGTACTGTGGACATTCCCCACAGGAGCAATTTGGGGTGAAGTGTATTGCCCATGGGACACAACGACATGCTCACTGCAGTGGGGTTTGAACCTGTGACCCCCTGATCCCAACACCAAGGCTTTATCCACTGCGCCAAACGCCTCCCCATAAATGTGTTTGATTAGATTCTGTTGTGCTTTATCAAAGTTAGTGTGATGAAGGGCTGAAAGAGAGCATAATATTTGTTATAATGAAGATGATTTGTTTCCCTAGTACAAAAGAATAATAAAACCCAGGTAAACAAAACTGAAAAACATGGCTTCTATATTTGCATAAATACGAGTAACCCACAATATGGTAACTACCAGTATGCTGGAAGAATTGGAAATGTAAATGCAAATTATTACCATGTTTTCTGGGATTGCACTGTCTGTTATCAAATATGTTTAGAGAGAGATATATCATGCCATACACCAAGGATTTTCAGAGTGTGAGACTGTGGGCCTCCCCTTAGACCAAGCTAGGAAAATGTATTGTTATTGTTAAGGCATCAAGGGAGTCTTTCTAAGGTGTGATAATGATTCAGGGCAAAGGGTACAATGATGGCTAATGAGATTCCCTTTGACAGAAAATCAAAATATGCAGCTTATCTCAATTGCATCAAATCGGTCTATGTTGCCTTGCAGACAGCATAAAAGGAGAAATGTATATAAATGTACTTTGGACCAAGGCTTAATTTGGCAAAACATTTATTTATTTATTTTTAATAACGCCAAAAAAGTTAGATTTTTGGTTAGTTAAATGACTATATCTTACACCCTTTAAGTAGATGGTGATAGGCATTTTTTTAAGGTAACAGCTCCAACAAATGTCTGTACAGCGCCTTGCAGCAAGTGGTACAAATGCTAGGAGGTATGAGCCTTTATCCTAACCAATACATTGTGCTGCAGACTTTGCTGCTTATTCAGCAGCAAGGCTTCCAGTACAGAACTGAGTGACCACAATATTCCCAGCCAGACATATGAAAGTGTACTCACAGCTGAAGCTCTTCTTCTTCTCGAGCCAGTGGTAAAAAGAACTGCGGGGAACTCACGTCAGCAGACTGTCGGCCTGAAAGACGTACAATGCACAGATAGATTACAGATGTCTTGGATCCCATATCACAGCAACAACAACAAAAAAGCCAATATTATGGCCAGCAGAAACAATATGATTGATGGGCAACAAGGACCCCAAGCCCTGCAATGTTACAATTTCTAAGGGCCAACATTTCCCTCTGACAGGCTTAGGAGGGGAACAAGTATATTTATAAGTGTTGTAAATGTATAATAATATAAATATATATATTTAACCTTGATTAATTGCATGATTGTTCATTCTTAAATTGAACTATTATTTGCAAAATAATCAAACATAAATGCTTGCGTTATGCAAAATGTATGCTTATTATTTTGCAACAATCCAAAACTAAGAAAATGTTTGGTTAATTTAATAGTCATGTTCTGCCTTGGCCGAGGGGGACAAGGGCTCCCTGCAATAGCTGTATGTTTAGCCTGCAAGTGCTATTTTTTTAGACTCAATACTAGGGATGGGTATCGTTAGGATTTTATCGATACCGGTATTTTTCGATAATTATAGACATGATTACAAGATGTGAAGATGTGAAGACAACAGTAATTTATTTGTATTTAATATAACTTTTTCAATGTCATACCAAGCAGGTATGAGTGTGTTTGACAGTGTGTCTCTGGAAGGGGGGCAGTAATTAGGGGCAGTTCATAAATCCATGTAAACATGACCATTATTCAGTTAAAATGAGACGCTGCGTGCGCACCTCCTAAACCGGAAGCTCCGGTTGGCTAACCATTACAATCCGTTTATTGCGTTTATTATTTATAATTGTAATGATGGATGAAAGAGACATTGGATTAACCGTTTGTATGCCCTTGAACACAACTTTTGATCACACAACAGCAAATTTAAGACATAATTATCATCATGGCTACGTAAAGTGAAGTTGTTTAATTGATCTTTCCTGGCTGCTAGTTTAGTGAGTGTTGGTCGTACAGTGATGAGACTTATACCAATTGAATCTGTGGAATCTCAGCTTTCATGTGATATGTCAGTTGTGCATATTGCATGATGTAGAAAAGATTGCTTTTGCCAATTATGTGCTGAAGTAGCCGTTAAGGCCCGGACACACCAATCTGACAACAAAGAACTGACACAGACGGACCCCGACTGTTGCGTCGCCTCGCGTCTCTGTGTTTTGGCCATGTGTCGCACTGGAACACACCGCAAAGACTTCAGCCGACGCATGCCGTGAGTGGCAATAACTCTCCTTACCAGCAGGCAGCGGTAGTGTGTATTCGTCATTCAAAAGAGGCAACAACCGGAAGACAGACTGCATGATAACCAATCTGAGTAGGGCGTGTCGACGCTCATCGTCGGCCTGACGCCCACCGACGCCGATAATCGGCCTGGTGTGTCCGTGCCTTTAGCCCCGTTAGCCCGTTTCGCTAGGTGTTGATTTAGACTCTTGGTATTGGTCTTCTGTTCCGTGTAGGTAAAATGGTTAATATCCAGGGCTGCACATAACTGGTGCGCACCTCCGCCAAAAAAAGAGCACCGTGTCATTTGAAAAAAGGCGCATTTGCGTACCAACATTGAGAGAGAGAGAGAGAGAGAGAGAGAGAGAGAGAGAGAGAGAGAGAGAGAGAGAGAGAGAGAGAGAGAGAGAGAGAGAGAGAGAGAGAGAGAGAGAGAGAGAGAAGAGAGAGAGAGAAAGAGAAAAGAGAGAAAGAGAAGAGAGAAGAGAAGAAATATATTTGCGAGTTGCATATGAACCTATGATATGAACTCAGGGCCGGCCCGTAGCACTGGCGTAATAGATGTTCGCCTAGGGCGCCAGATCTTGGGGGCGCTGCGCTGGCAGCTCTGGGAGGGAAAAAAACATTTTTGACCGTTGGGGCTCATCCTAATTTTCGGCCTTGATGTAACGATATTCATAATTAAGTAAATGTAACACCCTTTTCACCCCGGTTACACGTTTCATTTGCCCTGTACGATGGGCGCTGTAAGTGATGAAAATGGGGGATGTTGGCGTATCTGGCGCCCGCAGCTCACAGCCAAAATGCGAGTGAGCGAGGGAGAGAGGGAGGGTGCACCGGTACCGGCGCTGTTGTTATTAGAATCTGGTGCTAGCTGCTCTAACGGATATAAGAAGAAGCTGTTTCTACAATGATGTGGAGGGAGAGTCCTCTCCAGTCAGACTGAGAGGCTGATACTACAGCTCAGTGAGGTAAAGGACTCTGAGTGTTTAGATAGTTCACTTTAGTCTAAGTTCAAACGGTTTGGTCACAATTTATGTAAACACATATTTCCAAGGCACTCCTTTATAATTATTGGGATAAACAGGTTTGAAATCATTCCAATGTATACTATAGGACAGTAACCAAAAATATCCTTTAAAACTGAAATATGAATGAACAACATAAATAAAATAAGTTACATTCATTTGTTATTGGCTATGGTAGGTTATTGGTTATGTTCACATACTTATTTGATTACATCCACTTTTCTAAGATGACAACAGAGACTTTTGACCCAAACCCAGCTGTTGACTTGTGGATGCAAGCAGCTAATCACAGACTCAACCAGAGAGAAAGTAGTAGGCCTACATCATCAGCTACCATGTCTGACAGAGAGGAAGACAGTGAGGAGAACAGTCAGGAGGGTAGTGATGACAGCTTGTAGGATTACTGGTCGTGCTAATGTTGTCTTGTGTTCACCTCTGCATGTGTGTTCTGTGTTCACCTCTGCATGTGTGTTCTGTGTTCACCTCACGTGTGTTCAGTGCCGTGTGTCTGGCAAATAAAGTCAAGACCCCTCAAAAGTTACGGTTTATTTCATTTTAAGGATGAGCACCAAGCAACATCTCCAGGTGCTCCTTTGAGAACCAGGGCAAAAAAGTGATGGCACCCCTGTTAATATTGTCTCTTAGCTGAGTTTCTTCCCGTTAAGTGGGTATGCATCATTAATAGGTTGTTAAATGTTAAGAAGCCTTGAGACGTTGTTTCTTGCAAGATGTTGCGTCTGCCCCCGGGAGGCTCACAATAATAAGAGCGCTGTTAGGAGAGATGACGAGTGGCATTCACAGTGGCCAATCAGAGGGCTACTCAAACCGGATACGTCACACGGGAGGAGGGTTCCCAACCCACCAGAATTGTTTAAACTAAGGCAGTAGCGTAATTCATATACCGATAGCAGCACCGTTTGTCCAGTGGCTTAACGGTATACCGATATCGTCCAATCGGCTACCGGTACTGACTTAGTACCGGTACTGACTTAGTACCGGTTCTCGATACCCATCCCTACTCGATACTCCAGTGATAACTCAATTGACATTGACGATAAATGCATATAACTTTAGTCTTGTCGAGAGAACCATCTGGCAGGGATTTGAAGCTGCATTTGCCATGCAAAAGTTCCTTTTGCATATTTGAGGCTTGTTTCTGCTTGCCATTAACATTACTGCTCCTTTGCTTCCCTGATTTGCCAAACTACAGTGCAGGCCAAAAGTCATAATCAAAGATCATGCGCGTGTTAATCACCTTTTTAAAAAAACATTGCTGTTAAAAGGAATTGGCCTTAACTCAATATTATAGCATTAACTTTGAAAGCCCATATAGTTACACAATATTATATAAGGGTAAGCGAGTACTTTTGAAACAAACGACTTAAAAGAAAGTGTGAAACTTAAACTTTATATTTCCGTTTCCAATATGACCAGCACTCACCCGGTCTGCAAACCTAACAGCATGGAGCAGTAACGGCGTGTATTCATCATTTGGAAGAGGAACATCAGTGTTCCGCAACAGAAATGGCAGTACAGTAACAACATCACCAGCAAAGCCAGTAAGTGAGTCATCAGTCTGGAAGCCAAAGCCTGTGTATGTGGCCTGTTGTTTCAGTACTGACTGAGAATAAAAGGACAGTGGCCGCTTGAGTTCACATCACATGACCGGGGCACTACAGAAATGCTATGAACTATGGGCTTAAAAAGGAAGTGCACATGGGAAATTCCTTCCCAAAACAAAAACATGATAGTACATTACACCATGTAAATAATTGTCACTGTGTGACACCAAACTCCTTCACAGCTCTAAAGAATGATTTGTGCCACTGAAACAGCATTGCAAGTGCAGGAATACTTTCAGTTTCTCCTAGGGACACACAATACAATAAGTATGGGGACCAGAAATATATTAGATATTAGGAATTATGACGTCATCCCGATAAACCCGATAAAAGTATTAATAGCCCCGATAATATAAAATATATTTTTTGGGTAAAAAAAAAGAAAAAAATACTGCGGTGTGGGTGGATGGATTGGGATGAGGGGCGCTTGTTTTTCACTCGGCTCCTCCCGTTTTGCCAGTACTGTGGTATTAGAATTAGTGGTTTAGGAACAGGGGAGTTCTTCACAAATCCAGCGCTCCCTAACTCATGCCTGGCTGTGAAGTAAATGGTGTGCGGCCGTGAAGCCAGGACAGTAAACAAACATGTCGCCGGTAGTATGGGACTATTTCAAAGTTTCAGAGTTAGATAGTTCGCTTGCTATTTGTATTAACAAATGCAATGCAGAAGTTCCACGAGGAGGGAAAAAGGCAACGAGCTATAATACTTCCAACCTGATTAGTCACCTGAAACATCGCCATCGCAACGATGGTGTGTTAAAAGCGTACGTAGACGCCTGCGCTGCTAAACTAGCGGCGAATCCAAAGCCAGCTGCAAAGGCACCGGGGCTTTTACCTATCGACGAGGCTTTTGAAAAAGGCAAGAAGTTTGCCAGAGACGACCCCAGGGCTAAAACGATCTCTAACTTCATCATAGAAATGATGGCGCTTGACGAGAGTCAAAACTGTTCTTGGCTTTGTTTTGTTCATAGTAGTAATGCTCATGTCATTTGCTCACTACTAGTCTTTTTTTTACCACCAGGTGTGCAAAAACTACAGGTACATTTAATATATATATTATATTATTATCGGTTATCGGTATCGGTCTTGAGAAGCAGGAAGTTATCGGTATCGGTTTCAAAAAAACAATATTGTGCATCCCTAATACATATATATAAATAATATTTCTTGGATAAAAATATGAAATACATTGTAACAGAGTAGCATTTGTATATTCTGATACAATAGACCTGCAGTATGCACCTTTAAGTTGCTTTGCCCAACAACAGAGAAGAAGAAAAAGAAAAAACACAGCATGCACTTCTAATTCACCCGCTGATAATGATTATATATTGATTATTCGATCAGCAATGGCAAGCAGGTTATTATCAAATTGACATCAACTGAAAAAACTCAAAATGTATTCCTTGTTTCTCCTTAAATTACCCGACTTAATGTACAGTATATCATCCTGTGGTAGATGCCAAATACCTTATTGTGGAACTGTCAAACGGTGGTATCTTTAATATTAGTTTGAAAGGTGTTACGACTAACATTTAGAAGATTAATAGAAAACAATGAATCATCCCCAGACGCCCCTCTCACATAGATTTTAAAAAGGTCACCATTTAGTTCCTGTATTGATAGTCAACACATTCAGTCCAAACTGAAATGTGATGTTGATTTATCCTCGATGGTGAAATAAAGGGCCTGCCTAGTGCTACTTATTGGTTGACCTTATTTAACTCAAGACTTCATTGATAAATGGACAGTGATGGATTGTGGCATATAAACATAGCACTCGGTTGATGGTCCAAACATGCAGCCCTTCTATTGCTTAATGCAGGTTTACATCACAATTAAAAATATATATATTCACTTCTTTCCCCACCACCCAAATCGTATCTGTCCAAAACGTATAGTTTTGAAATTGATTAGCTTTTCTAGTGAGGGAAGTGGGAAAGTCTTCTATTTCCTACTGATCATCATTATTATAGCTCATCATGAGGTGCCATGAGGTCCTCATGGCAAGTGTCCCAAACGTTACGTAGGCTGTATCCAGGGCAGCACATCATTATTTCAGAAATTCAGACGAAACACAGTGGCAAAACTGAAGTCGGCTGGCAAAAGGAAGAGATGCCCACACTGCAAAGTCCAGAGAGAGATGAAGAGCACAGCCTACGTACAGACAAAAAGCCTACGTGATGTGACTGAATCAAAATACCTCTCAGTGCAACTCAAGATATTTCACTGGCGATTGTGTTTCTTCGAAAATAGCTTGTGTACAGCTCAAATGACGGAAACCTGCCACCTGCGCATAGTAAAACCTTGTTTTGTATGCAAACCTGTCGAACAACGTACTCCTTTATCATTAAGCATGATTAACTTAAGATATACTGGTCAAATATGCACACAAACATAAGACTCATATGGGGAAAACTTTAAAATGTCGCGAGAGTTTATTATGTTACTACACGATAAAAGGTCGACATAACTATATCATTTGTAATAAATGTACAACATTGTTGCTAGATATTGAGAAATATTTAAAGTATATTTCACTCGGTACGGTTAAATGCAGTCTTACCGGAGGTGTGCTCGCTGTCCCACGCGCTGATGCGGTTGTGCTGGTCCACCGTTGTCTCCTGGTCCTCTGAAGCACGCGCCCCTTTTTATCAGGCTCCATTTGTGCCATTCGCGCTCGTTCCCCTTCCCTACTCCGTAAGCGCATCGATTGGCTTTGACACCGACGACGCAAATCCTCCTGCTTACCAATGGCAGGCGGTGCCCTCCCCCTCCCTGCCTTCCCACTACTGCTACCGGACTGGCATCCATTTGGTTCCCCGCCAGAGAGCACTGACTGACTGTATGGATGTATTGTGCCTCGCCAGCTTTAATGGGGCTTCTGTCCTCCGGCACTCTGTCTATTATTGACTACCTGATATGTTTTAGTTTATTGTCTCTTTACAGTATAGCCCTGACGTGTACAGGGCTGGCCCTATCATTTTGGTGCCCCTAGACCGGATTCTGTTTGTGGCCCATAAACATTCTGACATCACCATGTCATGCAATACAAAAAACGTGTATGTTTGATCATTGTGCAATTCAACTTAAAAAGTTCAAATGTGCATAATGAGAAAACATGCAATGCAATGGTAATATAGATAAAAGCATATGTACATTCATTGTAACGTAAGATGAGCTGAAGAAAACACCACAGACAGCGCACTGGTTGTAAAATAACCAAAACAATTATTTAACTTTATTTGAAAACAATAAATAGTTGGTTGGTCAAGAAACTATTGACAATTGCAAATCATTAAAAATAATCAATTGTACAGTCAACATATTTAAACTATAAAAGCAACAAACTCATAGAATGAAAGGCTATTATTAAAGCCGGTATTCTGAAAATATTTAGGGCATTTTTGTTTAACTTTTAATATGTTATAAACCAAAAGCCACATTTAATGTTACAAGAAAACATTGGTAGCTAACTGGGTTGAAGTATACAGGTCAGATTTAATTTGTGCAAACCTATGATTATATGCTAAGTAAATGATCACTTCCTTATTAATAATACTTTCCACTGTTTTTATTTAGTTGTTCTCTTTTGTCATATATATTGAAAATGGGGCATTTCAGACAAACATACAGACATGATGTATGCAAACATTTTAAGACTCATTTGATGAAGTGGTTTTTGATGTTGAAAGTCTATGTTAACAAAAGATTTCAGAAATAAAAATGTAGCATTATTTGAAATGCTATGGTATATTCATAGAGTGCTCATTGTTTTTTTTAATCAACCTATGTTACTATTCTGTAGTGAAGTGGCACCCTGACCGTTGTTGTGTTTTTCTTTACATTGTGCAGCAGAACATTTTACAATGAACAGTAATGCATTGTGTGAATTTGCATTTTGTTGTGCTAGATTGAGGTACGTTGCATTCCATTGTGATGCAGCGCTGCATTGTTCAGCTCCGGTTGTGCCATGTCCACTGTGTTGTGTGTTGCATTTGGCCGTGTGGCTGCACGGTGCATATGTTGAGGTATACGAACTGTTGAAATTGATTGTATGACAGTAACACCCAACAACTTAACATTCTGTTGTGTGCTTTATGATGAACTCTGTGTAGTGCTCAAGGCCAGACTCAGAAGTCTTTTAGAATATTCTTGATGCACTTGCTGTTGCCAGGCAACAGCTGTCCTGGATTGGAAGTGAATGGGTGTCCCTGGCCTCTCTTTTTGTTCATCTCCGTCTTTGCCTTCATCTTCTTTCCTCTCAAGATGTTCTTCTTTATGTTTCTTGCAGGGTGTGAGAATGGCAGTATCCCCTTCAAGCAGTCTCTCTCACTCAGTAGACAGAAATGGGTCATTAAGGGGGTGTTATGGGTTTTCGGACAAGGCACAACTTCTGATTTCCTAAATGAATGTTACCGATGAAACCAGGGAGAGTGGGTCTTTTTTTCTTATAGATAAGTAAGCCAGGGTTGATCAATCAACACCTTTTTTTATGGAAGATGAAGACGGCTCCTCTTCCCAGTACAAGACATCTCTGTTTTTTCTTTTGGACTTCACAAATCTTACCGTGAAATTCACCGTAATTAACTGGTCGCAATTGACAATAAAACTACTGTAAAATAAATCTTCTACTGATTTTTTCAGTAATAATTATGTACTTATATAACAGTTTTGTACTATGATTTATGGACAGGACATGTGCAGTGTGAACCAGCACAACCCACAACAATTCAAAATCAGGTTTTTTTGGACATGGAGACTAAGCATTACCCATAGAATCTGCCAAGGCCAAACGCTGGGTTAACTATAACATGGTAGCCCGCTAATCTGGGAGGAAAGTGACCTTTGGCTTTTACACGGTTCTGGGGTTGGAGATTTTTTTAAAGTACTTCAACCAAAGCCTTTATTATTTAAGTGGTGCAGTAGATTTAAACTCTGCCAGGATTATCAGTGACAGAATGGTAATGGGGAAGATGGTACCCCACAATTTGCCCAACCCAAGATGGATAAGGTTATCGAGAAGCGATGTATTGCAAACATTACCGCAAACTATGCAAATCAAGTTTCCATCCAGATGCAAACTGATAAACATGCATGCCACATGTCCACAAGCCCTTGCCCTTAAGGCTTCAATAATTTTCAAGGAATTCATTCGGCACTCATGCATTTCTAGCAATGCTTTGAAATGCATTTCAGCCGTCAGCAATCACATGATTTATCTAGAAGTTTATTATGAATCTCTACAGTAATTAGTGATTGCAATTCTCTATCAGGCATTATCGGTTACTGATTTGTAATTATTACAGTCCCTGTAACATCACAGCATTACTTTAAGAGGGCACATATCTTTGCTGATGTAATAATCTAGTAACTGAGTTAATCTCTTGGGAAAATTATTAATAAGAAACATTATTTATTTGTGGAAATCAACACATAATATCAAGGATCCTGGAGGGGGCCTGGGAATACGCTTATCCAGTCTACATGTGTTTTGTAGACTTGGAGAAGGCGTATGACCGAGTTCCCAGGGAGTTACTGTGGGAGGTGCTGCGGGAGTATGGGGTGAGGGGGTCTCTACTCAGGGCCATCCAATCTCTGTACTCCCAAAGCGAGAGCTGTGTCCGGGTCCTCGGCAGTAAGTCGGACCCATTTCCGGTGAGGGTTGGCCTCCGCCAGGGCTGCGCTTTGTCACCAATCCTGTTTGTAATATACATGGATCGGATTTCGAGGCGTAGTCATGGGGGAGGGGGTCTGCAGTTCGGTGGACTAAGGATTGCACCACTGCTTTTTGCAGATGATGTGGTTCTAATGGCTTCATCGGTCTGCGACCTTCAGCACTCACTGGATCGGTTCGCAACCGAGTGTGAAGCGGCTGGGATGAGGATCAGCACCTCCAAATCTGAGGCCATGGTTCTCAGCAGGAAACCGATGGACTGTCCACTTCAAGTAGGGAATGAGTCCTTACCCCAAGTGAAGGAGTTCAAGTATCTCGGGGTCTTGTTCTCGAGTGAGGGAACAATGGAGCGTGAGATGGGCCGGAGAATCGGAGCAGCGGGAGCGGTACTGCAGTCGCTTTACCGCACCGTTGTGACGAAAAGGGAGCTGAGCCAGAAGGCAAAGCTCTCTGTCTACCGGGCCATTTTCGTTCCTACCCTCACCTATGGTCATGAAGGATGGGTCATGACCGAAAGAAAGAGATCGCGGATACAAGCGGCCGAGATGGGTTTTCTCCGCAGGGTGGCTGGTGTCTCCCTTAGGGATAAGGTGAGAAGTTCGGTCATCAGGGAGGGACTCGGAGTTGAGCCGCTCCTCCTTCGCGTCGAAAGGAGCCAGTTGAGGTGGTTCGGGCACCTAGTTAGGATGCCACCTGGGCGCCTCCCTAGGGAGGTGTTCCAGGCACGTCCAGCTGGGAAGAGACCAAGGGGTAGACCTAGGACCAGGTGGAGGGAATATATCTCTTCGCTGGCCTGGGAGCGCCTTGGGATCCCCCAGTCAGAGCTGGTTGATGTCGCCAGGGAAAAGAAAGTTTGGGGCTCTCTGCTGGAACTGCTACCCCCGCGACCCGACCACGGATAAGCGGAAGAAGATGGATGGATGGATGGAACACATAATATCGCAATATATGATACCGTATCAATATTTTCTTTCATCCATAGACTACTGTCACCTCTTTCTTTTATCAACCTCAGAAAACAAGCATTTTCATGCAGCACATACATTATGTATTGGACACACACCGTATTGAAAATAATATTCATAGCACTGATGCAACCTCTCTGTGGGATGTTGGCCAAAACATGTTCCGTTATAGGCCTTCCGCAATGCAATCACTGAAGACGAGTAGCACAGATGTTTTTCCGTAAGGCAAGGCAAGTTTATTTATATAGCACCTTTCAACACAAGGCAATTCAAAGTGCTTAACAAAAAACGAAACACATTAAGAAAATGGCATTTAAAATCAGTCATTAAAAAGAAAAGATAATAAAATAAACATTAAAAGAAAAAATACATGGATAAAAGTTACAGTGCAGTTTAAGATGTAAATAGTTCAATTAAAAGCAGCGGCAAAAAGTCTTTAGTCTGTATTTAAAAGTAGTCAGAGTTGCAGCGGACCTGCAGTTTTCTGGGAGTTTGTTCCAGATGTTTGGAGCATAATAACTGAACGCTGCTTCTCCATGTTTAGTTCTGACTCTGGGGACAAAAAGCTGACCAGTCCCTGAAGACCTGAGAGATCTGGATGGTTCATAATTTAGCAGGAGGTCAGAAATGTATTTTGGGCCTAAACCATTCAGTGCTTTATAAACCAGCAGCAGTATTTTGAAATCTATTCTTTGACACACAGGAAGCCAGTGTAAAGACTTCAGAACTGGAGTGATGTGATCCACTTTCTTAGTGTTAGTGAGGACTCGAGCAGCGGCGTTCTGAATCAGCTGCAGCTTCCTAATAGATTTTTTAGTGAGACCTGTGAAGACACCATTACAGTAGTCCAGTCTACTGAAGATAAAAGCATGGACAAGTTTTTTCAAATCCTGCTGTGACATTAGTTTTTTAATCTTAGATATGTTCTTTAGGTGATAGTAGGCTGATTTAGTAACTGTTTTAATGTGACTGTTGAAACTCAGGTCAGAGTCCATGACTACACCTAGATTTCTGGCTTTATCTGTTGTTTTGAACAT